TTGCTGCCCCCTCAGACCCTCACCAGCCTGGGCTCTGTGTGGCAGACGTGTCTTGGCGCTGTGACGTGCGGGGTGTCCGTGTCCCCCTGCTCGGTGTCCGTGAGCAGCAACAGCCCAAACCCTGTATGTATGAGCCTGGCTCCTACAGCACCTCCTCTGTTGGTGACAGCGTGCCCTGTGACCCATTGACATCTCCCCCCCTTGGTTTCACCCTCCAGCCCTTTCCCAGAGGAGCTCTGTGTGTTCTGACCACAGGAAGCTCTCCCGCTGTAATCCAAGCCCTGGGGGGACACTCACTCCCGTCACAGCCATCCCAGACCCGACTTCCCTTGGAGGAGGAGGAGGATTTCCCCTTCCACACCTGCAAAAACAAGGGGCCCTGACTCACTGCCTACAGGGTGCAAGGGCCACGAGGGCTCCACTTACACCTTGCTCATGGAGGTAGGAGTTGGGGCAGGGGGTACCAGGCACTCTGCCCATCCCTGTGGGATTTCCCTCCCCTGCCCTTTGGGGTTTCCCCTTTTTTGCTCCATTCAGAAGGTGATTTCAGTGCAGTGCACTGTGGTCCTGTCATGGTTGAACCCTGGCGAGCAGCTAAACACCACCAGCTGCTCCATGACTGAACACCTGCCTGCCGAGGGGAAGTGATAAATGAATTCCTTGTTTGCTTTGTTTGCATGCTCAGCTGTTGCTTCACCTATTAAACCACCTTTATCTCAACCCTCCCCCTTCCAGTTCTGCCCCCATCCCTCTGTGAGGACTGAGGGGCTGTGTGGGGCAGAGCTGCCCCCCGGGATTAACCCACACCAGGTCCCAAACCTGTACTGGTTTGCTGCATGTGTTTGCAGAGGATCCTGCTGGACCCAGTTCTTCCCTGGGTCCTCCTCCCCATGAACCTCCTGTCTGATGTTCTGTGGTCCCCAGGAGCTCTCCCGGTGGGATGTATTGTCCTCCTCCATCCCCAGTTGTCAGGACATTTCTCCATCCCCTGTCACGGCTCCCAAGGAAATCGGGAGCTCAGCGTGTGAGCCCTGCCAGCTCTGATCTCTGATTCCCATCCTGCCCAGGCAGCTGTGTCTATTCAGCCACGAGCAGCTCCGTCCCTAGACTGTGAAGGAACGGGAAAAGCCGCCGGGCTTCTCCTTAAAGGAGCCGTTGTCGGGAAATGAGGTCAGGGAAAGGGGAATGCTGAGCGGCTCATTGAGGGACCACGGCAGGGCACTCGCACAATAGCTCAGTGTCCTCCCCCGGTCCGGCTCAGCTCTTGTCCCACCCTCAGAGCTTCAGCCGGATCATTCGGAGCTGGTTTGTGGTTGGAGTGACTCAACCAGTGTCCTTTTGTGTCACCTCGATGTCACAGCTTTGCCATTTGCTCCCCGGCGCACGGGGAAGTGAAGGCAGGAAATCAATCCCAAATCCATCACCGCTGGCCCGGGCAGCCACAGGAGAGAGCCAGGGCTGGGCTGGAGGGGGGACTCTGCTTTCTGGTGCACAGAGCAGACACATCCCCCCTTGTCCCAGTGCTCAGGCTGTTCCCTGGATGTGGGAAAGGAGATGATGATGCTCATCTCTAACCCAGGTTAGAGGTGGAGCCAGCTTGCATCTTTGCCGGTGGGCAGAATCACGCTGGGACAAAAATCCACGTGTTGTGGGTAGAAGGCAGTGATTTACAAATCTTCCTGAAATATTTTGTCAGTCCTGTACAAAGGCATTGAAATCTCAAAGCAGATCTGCTGGGGATGACCAAAAACAGCATCTTTGGACAGGGGGTTCAAGCCCAACAATCCCTTGGTCAAGGCATAAATACTCTTTGCCCAAAAGGCTATTAATGTTCCGTAATTTCGGTGTTTTCCTGTCCTCCTGCTGCAGCTGGCATATTGATAAAGCCCACCTGGATTTCCAGAGGGGTCTCTTGCAATCTCTTAAAGAAGCTGAGCTCCCGTGGGAGGAGAGGGAGGTTCCTATGTGGCTGCAACCTGGTATTTAACTGGCTAAAAGGCAGGAAACAAAGCACAGCAGGAAGGCTGAGAATAGTAGGAATATTTCTGACAGTATTTCAGTAGGAAAAAACAAATGTGACTATGAAGGGATGCAGAGGGTCCTCACCTGGATGCTTGGTGGCTTATAGGGCCACAAAGATGCTCTGAGGGCTGGAGCCCCTCTGCTCTGGAGCCAGGCTGGGAGAGCTGGGGGGGTTCACCTGGAGAAGAGATCCCAGGGAGACCTGAGAGCCCCTTCCAGGGCCTAAAGGGGCTCCAGGAGAGCTGGATAGAGACTTGGAGGGACAGAACAAGGGGAATGGCTCCACACTGCCAGAGGGCAGGGATAGGTGGGATACTGGGAAGGAATTGTTCCCTGTGAGGGTGGGGAGGTCCTGGCACAGGTTGTCCAAAGAAGCTGTGGCTGCCCCTGGATCCCTGGAAGTGTCCAAGGCCAGGCTGGACAGGGCTTGGAGCAACCTGAGCTAGTGGAAGGTGTCCGTGCCCATGGCAGGGAGTGGAACTGGAAGGTTTTTAAGGTCCCTTCCAACCCAAACCATTCTGTGATTTTATGATCTCGAAGGGTTTGTTCTGCCCTCTGTGCTTTTCCCTTTTAACTCTGTGAACACAGGGATGCTCCAGGCTGAGCATTTCCACTTGGAGCAAAACATGGGGTGTGTGGGGTGTCAGTGCAGTGTCAGCCAATTGCTCTGCAGCAGTTTAAACCCCAAATTTCCTCTGAGATCTAGAAATCCCTGGGAAAGGAAGAAGAAGAGAAAAAAGAAACCACAGCAGTGGCTTTCTTTTTGTTTGAAACACATTGAGCTGCCTGCAGCTCTGGTTCCCCTGCCTGAGGAGGGACCTCGTGAGCTAAATCAGCTGCAGGCTTAACTCAGAAAAGGGATGTGGAGGATTCACATGAAATGATAAACTCTAGATGTTTCCCCCCATTGTAAGTAAGAGCTTGAATGGAGCTGGGAGGGGCAGCCTTAAATGCCAAGCTGTCATTTCACAGCACTCCCCTTCACAGGATGTTGCTTATGGTTTACCCAGGTTAAAAAAAGCCACGGAATACATTCAGGGAATAAAAAGGTGGGAGGATGTGAGAAAATTCACTGGTGAGAAAGATGAGAGAGTGTCGGTGGGGGCGTGAGGGAGCAATTAGGAGCTGCAAGGAGCGGAGGGGAAGGGAGGGAGGGAAGGAGGGAGGAAGCAGTCTGCCGGGTTCATGCTGTGTTGGGAAGGGGCTTGGCTGGGGGGAGAGACGGGCTGTGGGAGGAGGATGACTCTGCCCAGAGGAGCAAGAAGCTGCTGCTGCAATTTGGGGCTCAGGAGAGGAATAGGGAGTGTGGGAGAGCCTGGGTGCAGAGCAGGCCCTGAGGGGAGAAGGGGTTGCTGGATCAGAGGAGGGTTTGCAGAGGGAGGAGGACAAGCAGTGCATTGAGTACAGGCTCCCGCTTCCTTTCAGCCCTGTCCAGCTTTGCTACAGCCCAGCTGGCAGCTGGGGGGACACCCCCACCCCCCTCCTTCCTGCTGCAGCCCCGAGGGGATCCGTGCACAAAGCCTGGCAGCTCTGAATGCTCCCTGTGTTGTCTGTGCACACCAAATGCTTCATCCCTGCTCAGTGCCAGACCCCCGAGGGGCTGTGACACAGCAGCAGCACCCACGCAGGGCCCACACACTGGGGTCCAGCTCCAAAACAATGCCCACCCTGAGCAAGGGACATCTTGCCAGCAGACCTGGAAGGAGAGGGGAGATGGTGGGTGTCCAGGTTTGGAGGCTGTCGGTCCCTTCCCAGCCGGGCTGTGTGTGTGACCTGTGTGTGTCAGACCCGCTGTGCACAGGGAACAAGTGCTGTCTGAGCCATCCCCTCTGCACAGCCCACCTTTCTCTTGCTTTGCTGGTTTTTGGGGGAGAGGACAGACCCATAAGTGACATCTCCTGCCCACTGTGCCACAATTCCATGTGGGGCTGCAGCTGGAAGCGGGACAGGGAGAGACAGATGCACCAAGGAGGGGTGAGGGGGAGTTTCAGGGGTGGAGGGTAAGAGAGGGGTGCTGAGTTTGTGATCGTTATTTAGCAGAGTCTCCAAAAAGCTTTTAAATCCTGTACCTTGTCTCTGCACAGTTTCGTGTGCCTGCCTTTGGTATTTCAGGAGCTGGGGATGACAGCACGGAAGGTTTGCAGCCCTGAAACAGTTAATCCCTCACTCCTGCAGCGCCTGGGCAGTAACTGGGATGCTGCTTCATATTCCTGAGCCGCTCCCCTCCCTTCTGCCGTCTCCTCCCAGCCGTAAAAATACATCTTCGGAGGCACTGCAGGCAGGAGCGGGGCCGTCCCGGTGCTGGCCCCGTGGCCGTGCCAGGGCTCAGTCACCACGCTCCCCCCGTGCCCTCGTCCCCCGGGTGTCCCGGTGCCGGTTGTCGCCCGGCGGCTGCTCTGATTCGGGGTTAGCGCCTGGAGCGCGGCGTCATGAGCTGGATGAGCTCAGGCTTTAAGCCGCGAAGGCTTCTTAAGGGTAGACACTGTCCATGTCTCGTTACTGGGACACCAGCACCGGGAGGCTGAAATGGATAAGGCCGAAGTGTGGAGCACGGGGGGGGCTCGAGGGCGGGGGGCTGGGGGCTGTAATCACTGCCAGCACAGCCCTGTGAGAGCCTGGGGGCAGCATCCTCCATCACACTGCCTGTCCTCTCCCGTGGGATGCACGGGGGAGGCGTGGGAGGCACAACCTCCTGAGCTCTGGAGTCCCATTTGGGTCACGGTGTTGCCCATCAGGTGCTACTGTCAGAACTGCACCTTTTCGCTTGGGTTGGGGTGAAAGCAGGTGGATGCCTGATCCCTTAATGGGATGCATTTTGCAGCCTTGATCCCGTGGTGAGAATGTCTCAGCCCCTCAAGTGTCCTGAGCTCCCGTGGCTCCTCCAGCCCAGTCGGCTGCGGCCCCTGAGGAAGGTGGTCTGTGCCAGAGCTGGCCTGGAGGAGCTTCTCCCCCTGTTCTCAACATCCCCTTCTTTTCAGAACCAAGCAAGACCAGCAGAGCCAGCAAGGTGACAAGAGATGGAGGAGCATCCCTGTGGAGACCATCAGCTGGTCAAGCTGGACATTTCTCCTGGACAAAGGCAGGACACTGCTCGACCTGTGAGAGATTTCAGTAAGTAAAATACAGTTTCACTCTGGGATCTGTGCATGATATGGAGGATAATTTATCTTCCTTCTTCCTCCTGGGACTGCTAGTGGCAGTTTTTGCATCATTTTAGCTCTCCTGACCCATCTTTGTTCCGTCCCTGTAGACAGTTGAAGGGTCAAAGGCTTCAGCCAAGGGGCGGAACATCATCTGTGGTTCTCCTGGTGGAGCAGATTGGGCAGAAAGGCAGGGACAGAATAGCCCCACCTACACATAGCTCAGTGCTGGGGTTACAGTCAGAGACTCCAGGTCTGATCTTGCAGGGTGCTGGATCCTGGTGGAGTTTGCAGTGGGAACAGCTCTGCCCCAGCTTGTGGCTTCCAAGTGCTGAATTGTTTTCTTGTTCTAATTTAACATATGTATAACACTGAAGTAATAGAGTGATCCATAAGAGCCCAGCATCATCTGGGACTGGCACACAGCCTGGCTGTCACACATCCCTGAGGGAGGAGACAGGCTGATCCCAGCCCAGGTAAGAGCTGGGGTGTCAGGAAGGGGGAGAAGGAAATAGGGTGGCTGGGAATGCTCTGGGAGAGAAGGCAGGTTGGCACCTTCCAGTCTGGGAGAGCCACCCAGGGAGGGCTGAGCCAGCACAGGTGTTGCAGCAGGGTCTGGGGGGCATTGCTGGGGTCACCCAGCACAGGGCTCTTCCCTATGGGAACCTGTGTGTGCCAGGGCACTGCTGGGAGCACCGCTCCCTCCTGGAGTCCCACTTCGCAGCTTTTAGCTTTAACGCACTTTTCACAAAATCCCAGAATGGTTTGGGTGGGAAAGGACCTTAAAAACCACCTCTTCCCAACCCTCTGCCATGGGCAGGGACACATTCCACTAAACCAGGTTGCTCAGAGCCGTTACATTCAATAATAATACTTGTTCAATAGTAATAATAATTCCATTTCTCATAGCATTTTGGGTGTTCCCGGGGTTTGTTATCACACCCCGGGGCTGGAAGCACTAACAAAAAGCCGAGTGAGCTGAGGAGAGCGTGCCCCCTGTGCCAGGTCAGCCCGGCAGCCCCTCCCGGCACGTGGCATGGCCACCAGTCCCCCCCGGCAGCGGCTGCACCCAGTGAGGCTCTTTGTGCTGGGCACGGTGCCCGCTCCCTGCTCCAAAGGCACCTCGTGGCTGTTGTCCCGCTCCATCCCAGGTGCTGGGCTGGGCTGTGCAAACCCAGCGGGGTGTGAACCGTGGGGAAGAACTGCAGAGGAGCCCTCGGGGTGAGGTGGGCGCTGCCTGTGCACAGGAGCTTCGTGCTGGACAGAGAAAAGGGGGAGAGATGCTGCTCTGACAGGGGAGAAGTGTTGAAGTGTTGCTGTTTCAGCCTCACAGTCCAGGGACTGCCCCCCCTCCAACCCGGGTGAGCTGGGGTTCTGTTGCTGCAGCAAGTGTGGGATGGAGCCCTAGACAAGGCTTGACCCCTTCCCACCCCCCTGGGAAAGAGTGAGGGAGTCAACAAGGGCAGGTGGGATAATTAAAGCATCAGTCTCTCTGCTCTCCCAGTGCCTGGGGCATCAGAGGGCTCCCTGTGGGGCTGTGCCACCCTCATTTCGGGGTGCTGGCGGGCTCTGCCAGGCTGATCAGGGCAGGCAGGAGCTGCCAAATGTCCAAGGCTGCTCTGAGCTACCAAATGTCCGGAAATCTGCAAACTGAGGGAGAAACTGGGATACGTGAGCTGCATCTGGGCCAGCCTGGAGCCTTGTCTGGGAGCTCTGTATTTTCTTGTACCAGTTCCTTTCATCTAAAGCCTTTTTTCATGGCTTTGCAGCTGTGGGAAAGGGGTGCTCTTGGAGTGCTGTTTGAGAGCTTGTGTGTACAAAAGATGGAGAAATAAACACGATTTTTGGTACAAAAATATGATTTTTGCCTCCATATCATAACTTTGCTGGTGCAGAGGTGAACCTGGAGCCTTGTGGCACTGAGCTGCAGGGACCTCATCCGGGCTGGAGCAGCTGCCTGTGGTGCTGCCCCACATCTCAGGAGAAGGCTGGAAATCCTGTTCCCTGCACCAAAAATCCACCTTGGAACACCTGGTGTGGTGCCTGAGAGTCCAGATATAAAGTGGGCTCTGGTGGATGGGGTTGTCCCCCCTGCCCAAATGTCACCCAAATGCCAGGCAGGTGGGAAGGGGGGAGTACAGGAGTTGCCCTCGCTGTCCAAATACTTGCCATGAGGGATATCCCCCAGGGACAAACCAAGAAGGAGAGCCCTGGTCACACTGCTTGAGCTTTCTTGTCCCCAGAGGTGTACCTGCCTGTGTGGCAGCTCTGTGACAGCTGTGTCCCTCCTGGGGGCCCCACAGAGGGTCCTCCTTTGCTGTCACAGAAGCAGCACCAGCCCAGCCGCCGGCTGAGCTTAGAGGTCACACCAGCCAGAACTGGGCCAGGCTGCAGCTCCCTGCTGCTCTGCTGGGATGAAGGACACCTTCTCCCAGATGGCCACTTTGGAGGGACAAATGTTCATCCACGTGGCCCTGGCTTGGTGGCACAGGAGGAGCTTGTCCTTGGGACTGGTCCTGTGTGGGAGGCTGGAGCCAAGGGGGAAAGGCTGCGTCCTTGGTGCATGGACAGCTGAGCCTGGGCTGTGTTCCTGCTCCTGGGGACAAGTGCACGTTGCAGAGGCTGTTTTGGTACCAAAGTCCTGCTGGCATCTCATGGTAGGTACCCCAAGGTGTGTCCAAACCCCATCAGTGGCCATCCCTGTCCCCCTTCTGCTGAGGCAGCGCTGCCTTTACCCCCTGCCCATGGTGGGGAGCAGCCCCTGCTCCTGTCCCTACCTCCACAGTGGTGGTAGCACATCAGCAAGAGAGGCCCTGGATGTCCCTTGGAGCTGTTCCAGCCCCTCCTCCTCACCCTCAGTCAACTTCTGTGCCTTCCCCATCCCCCAAAGGCAGTTTGGGGGGGGGTATGGCCCCCAGCCAGGCCTGTGCCCCAAAATGTCCCTGCCTCTTCCCCACTCCCCTTTTCTCTTCAAGGTGTCCCCCAGCAGGTGTGGGGTGGAGCCAGCCAAACAGCACTGGCTCCATGGGGCTTTTGGGAGCAGGTCCCCACCTCCATGGACACACAGGGGACTGCTGGGATAATTTAAAAACGAGGGCAGAGACCTGATTATTGCCCTAGTTTGTGTCAAGTCTCAGTTTGGGTTTTTTTAGCAGCCTTTTGATGAGCTTGTCAATGACAAGCTGCTAATTGGGGAGTGGGAGGCCCGTGCTGTCCTGTGAAAACAGGGGAAAAAAAGAGCCAGGATAAAATAATTGTTTAAACACTGGCACTGGGCCTGGCCAGAGGGACCCGGGGCATGGAGAGAGGCCAGGCTGGGGTGGCCTCAGAGGGGCCGTGGGGCTGGTGCTCACTGAGGGGGTGGGGACACCCCAAATCTCTGCAGGGGTTGGTAGAGACCCCCCGAGAGCTTCAGCAGGGGGATGTGTCCCATTGCCCTGGGGTGCTGAGCAGTGGGGGAGGACACTTGGGTTCTAACAACATGAAGCACCCACCAACCACCGTGTGGAGCTCTGGGCTCCACATTTTCTTATTCCACCCTCCCCAGTGTATTTATTGATTTATAAATTCCCTACACGCACTGCTGGGCAAGGAGTACATTGCAGAGCACAAACTAAAACACAAATTATAAAAGGAAGGGGTAGACACGGGAAAAAAACAGTATTTTTAAAGTATTTTTGAAGGTTTTAGCGGTACAAAAACCATTTTGTTCCTGCACCCCAGTGGACTATTTCATGCACCCCTCTGTGGGGACCACGGGGTTGGAGGGAGACAACCCGGCCCCCTCCCTACCTGGCACCCATGAGCCCCTTCCCCGTTCCCCCTCTTTGCCCCCACCGGATGCTGCCCTGCACAAAGGAGCCTTGTCTGCCTCTTCCTCTCCTCTCCCCCCATCTGGCCGCTCTCCCTCCCTGGCACCCGTCCCGTCTCTCTCTGCAGAGCAAAGACCCTCCTTCTCATTCATCTCTGGGGGGGTCCAAGCCCCCACGTTGCCCTTGCAGCTCGCAGGGACCCCCCTGGCTGTGCCCTGCTCTGGAGGTGATGGGGAGGGTGGCAGGGTCCCCACCCCCGACCTGGCACCCACCCACATCCTGGGGACCGGTCGTGCAGCTGCCACTGGAGGGAGTGGTGGGCACTGCTCCCCAAAGCCCTGCGGTGTCACAGGGGCGTCCTTGCCCTCCGGCACCACTCGGCTTCACTGGCTGCCTTTCCGGGCTGTGTCACTTGGGGTTCACCGGGGAGGGCTCCCCTCAAATCCCGAATCAAATCCTGATGTGTCATGAACCGTGTGGGAGAGGAGGGGAGTTGCCCGGGGTGTGTCTCTGCTCCCCAGCGATTTCCAAACCTTGGCCAGCGGGATGGGCACTGTGACATCCACACTCCTGTCCCCCTGCGAGGGGAAAACGTGCCTCAACACGGCGATTCCACTCCCTTTCCTTCTTCCAAATGTTCTGGCAAAGCTCTGGATAGTGTTCACGTGGAGAGGGGGTCCAAAATCGCCTCCCTAAACTGGGCATGGCCACTTTTGGCACGTGCCAAAGGGACAAGGACTGGGCAGGCAGAGCTGGGCACGGGCAGCCCCTGAGCACTGCCCGGGGAACATTTTGGCCAAGAGTGGCTTTTCTTGGCTTTTTTTTTTTTTTTTGGGCTGGGGTTTTTCCTA